CCCTGCTTGTAAAGAAAGCAGACAGCTATGCACTTTGAGCTGGGTGTCCCACTATGCTGCAGGAGAGGTACATCAATCAAACTGGAATAACAATAGAGGAAGGCAAACGCCCCTGTCTTTATACCTGCTACTCTTCCATTGCTTCAGGTGTTAGTATTATGTGAAAGAAAAAAAACCTTGCCATGACATTGCATAGAAAGGCCCCTGAACAATCCCAGACCTTGTCTTTGGTAGAAAAAGATCAAGATTAAGGAGTGAATTTAAACATCACGCAGTACAGCAAGTTATCATTAAATTACCAAGTTGGCTTCAGCATCTTTCCGCTTGAGTCAGCTGTCCTGCAGAGCACAGACATGACAATCTGCTTTTTTTTTTTTTCTGCTTTTTTTAAAAGCATTTTTTAAAATTATAACTAATTCACAAGCTCCCTCTACTGGGCTTCCAGCATAGAAGACTAATGGCTAAGCTCCTGTTAGGTTATTTGTAGACTGACCCATTTTTTCGGCTTATTTTCAACACTTTCTACAGCATCAGAAAAAGCATATGACCAAATTAATGTAAATGGCTTTTTAAAAGTGTAACACAGAGAGGTTTGATGTGTTAGGTGCATATTACATTTTTTATATGCATAGAATAAAGCATTTTTCACAGTAATGTAAATATAGCCATTACCTCCTAAAGTACTGATGCATCTATGAAAATATATTGTTATTTGACATTCAGGGATGCCTTCTGTTACTTACATTGAGGAAAGAGCTCTACAAAAAATAATTACAGGTCTTTTAAAAGAATTTAAAACTTACAGTCCTCAAATATGATCCGTACAATATGCAATTTTATTTACCAGTGGTTTTCAAAAGGCAAGTCATGAAGCAAGGGGCTTTTAGCAAGCATTGAGAGAAATGATGAAGTGCTGAAAATGTTACTGTAGTCAGGAGGAAGAAGAACTAGTTCTGCTTCTTTCCACCTAATCTTCAAGGTCAAAATTTCTGTCTACAGTTTTTGAAACACCTATCTAGGGCCTAGCATGTTCATAACCAATATATTGTGAAATCCGTGTTAGTTGTGAAAAAAAGGGTTGTAAAATGTTTTACTTCCAACTAAATAATCTTAGGCTGATAAAGACTGCAACCAACAAAAAAGGATGATGGTCTGTGATTGCTGTTGACACAGCACTTCCTTTCTCACTTTCATCAGGGATTTACTGAATAAAGTACCTGCCTTAAATTAGTCAGAGATTTCTGGAGTGCCTTAGTGGAAGAACTTATATTGTCTGCAGTGGCACAAGAGAAAAATGGAGAGACTTTAGAAACAATCACAGTGGATTTTTTTTACTGTAAGTAGAGCTCCAAGGCACAGGCAGTACTGCAAAAGCTAAGTATTATAGCACTGCTTAAGCATTGTGCTTAAAGTATAATGTATTGGGGAAAACAGCTGTCACCAGTGTGAGCAGAACAGTTATTTAACAGCACGCAGCATCACTGGGCAGTGATTTCAAGTGGAAAAGAAAGAAGTTATTCCTGGGGAGATCCCGACTGAACATCAAAAGAGAATTTTTCACTATGAGAACAGTGGGGCATTGGAATAATATCCCCAGACAAGTGGTGGATTCTCCAACACTGGAGACTTCTAATACTCTGCTTAACAAAGTGTTGGACATTCTCATTTAAACCTTTTCCCTACTTAGAAAGGTTGGACCAGGTGATCCTTGAGGTCCCTTCCAACCTGGCATTCTATGATCCTATCATTCTATGAACTCAACTGACCAATTGATATGGAAATGGCAGGGGAAATGTGGAATGCATGTATTCCAAACTTCAGTCTAGTGAGCAGACCAGCATGAACACTTCTAATATTATAAGATAGACTGTGGTGTCTTTAAAAATACAAAAAGAGTTAGCTGAAATATTAAACCACCACCAATATATCTCTTAGTGTCAGTAGTCATTTGGTTAAGTACTGACATGATAAAGAGTCATTTTACCCACTGTCATATAAAATGACATTCAAGAAGTTTCTCAAAAAATGTAGCTATCTCAAGCGTGAAGGTTTTTTTGGGTAGCATATTCTCATATTGACTTCATTCTTCATCAAAGTATGTGACAGCTTTCACCAGAGGACATGCTATCAATATGCAATTTATCCTTTCAAAGCCTTTGGGATGATCAGTCTATTTCTTTGCCATTGCTAATTAAAAATACTGCTTCAATAATTCCCAGAGGCACAGAGGTATTGCGACTACACTGAGATGAAAATTAACTTGGTAGACCCACAGCTACACCGTGATTATGATTAAAGTAGTCTATGATTGTTGTTTTGGTCATAAGATTTTAGCTGTTTTTTTAAAGATGCAATGAGAGAGCATACAGAGATGAGTCATAGATTTTATTTCTTGCCAAGGTGAAAGAAATCTGCAGAGGTTTTAACACAGATTTGATTGAAATTGAATTTAGCGAGCTGATGGAGACCTTAAATGTGATTTCTGATCCTTCATCCTCTTGAAGGTCACTATAAATGGTGGTTAGTGAGGGTTTCTGTTCCATCCAACCATTTCCTAGAATAAGGATCAAATACAAGTCCTTCATATTTATATGTTTTGGAAAATAGAGCAGAGCTACAATATCTGTGGATTGAGGCACTTGGTAAGAGATATTGGAAGTCAGCGCAAAACATTTTCTTTTGCAGCTATTAGGACAAATCTCCTACCTGCTTTAAGCATACAGGTCAGTCTGAGTGACCAGAAAGAAATTTGCTTTCAAGATATACAGGTTATTTTATTTTCTGTTTTATTTGGTAATGTGGAAGTGGGTCAGGATTATTTTATTTCTGTCATCCATTCTACTCATGATTTTAAATAGTAATTTTTCATCTGGCTTTGCATGTGGGTTTGGGGTTTTTTTTGCATTCTGGTAAAGAAGTGATACTCATTAGCATATTTCATAGTGCTTAAGTTTTTTACTTTTTACACTTTGTATTAAAAATTGTTTAACAGAACATTTCTTGATAGCTGATAATTCTCGATGCAGCATTGTTAAAGGCTGAATTTAGGTAGAAGTTGAGAGTCCATTTAAAATACACAATCAGCATTTTGAAACAGTCATTAATTCAATTTAAAAATTACATACACTGAACTTAAAAATAAATTTAGCAAAACACAGTTTGTATTGAAAGCCATTTGTTTTATTGGGTAAAGGAACTATTACATACAGAAAATGTACTGATTATTATTTTTCTAGTTGTTGTGTCTTTGCCTTCCAGAATTACAATTAGGTTATCTAATCCTTCACATATTTTTAAAGGGTTACCTTGCTAATCCTTTTACAAAGTGTAGGATTTGGAGAACTGCGTCCCAAACTGCAAAACAGTAAAATGAGAGCCCTGGAAAGAATGCAGCATGTCGCACCATTTCTTTGATCTCCACATTTGCTTAGAATTTAAACAATTTATTTAAATTCACTGAAGCTGAAACAAGTAATTTAAAAATGACTGGAAATTAGTGACGTCTCCAGATGTTAATGACTTACTTACTTCTACTGCACTACCATTAAACAACACTAATCAAAATAAGAAGTAGCTTGTTCTGCAAGTTGTACAAATATCATAGTAATTTGGAGCAACCATAATAAAATGTTATCAGGGAGCATGGTAAAACAGACAAACAAGATTTTTTAGCCATTAGTTTTCAGTGAAGTTTTAAGTGACATTAATGCTTGTAGCATCTTTTACGTGGCAAATGAGAGAATACAGTTTATAACAGATATTGCCTCTGTATTTGAGGCTAACAGTATATTTTAAACTTGAGGAAATAATTGTAAATCCTATGATAATAAAAATGGTAGCAAAACTAAATGTATTCAGAACCATTTTACAGACATTATCCAGATGTTCCAGTTAGTTTTAAGATTACTGTTTATTTTGTCCAGGATATTTCTACATCCTTTTTCAGCTTCCTGTCTCACTTTGCCTTTTTTCTTTATCCGTTCTTTCTTTCATAGGTTGAAATAAATTTTTTTGCAAAGTACAGCTGCCATACAAGTTTTCCCCTAACACTACTAGCAATACAGCACATCAGCTGAACTATGGTAATAAACCAGGTCGTGGTCAGTAGTGTACAGATGTGGCTGACACAGAGGAAATGACAGATAATTGTAGTGAATTGCGTATCAATTGAGCTGTAGTTACAACGTGTAAAAACAATTCCCAATGGAATGCTTTAGTTTAGTAACCTGGGGAAGTTCATGTCTGGTGAAATACATCATTTGTCAATCTTACTTCCACAAGACTGTTTGAATTAGCATTAGACAATGAGCATGAGTAATTTCCTAGGACTGCATTAAGGGCAGTGTTGACCTCTTCATGATGATAAAGTCACATAAGCAGGTGGCCTCTGTTCATAGAAACCTTTCTTGCACTTCATCTTTCTTAGTAAGAAGGTCTGATTCTTTTACTAAGATGCTTCTAAACCCGCATATGTAGACTTGATTTTTGGTAAAATTCAATACCCTCTTTCTTGCTTACTGTTTTTTATACTGTCTGAGAAAAATCTGTCTAGTTCATTGTGTCCTCATAAAGCCTGTAACACTTACTTCTTCACTAGGTCTGTTTTCCTTTGTCTTCTGCTAGTGTCTGTTCCTGCAGTCTGGAGACTCACTGTGCAGCTGGCCTGGTGCTTGTTTTCAGCTTCCATCAGACCAATGTATCTCTGGGAAGGAAAGGCATGAGCTTTTAGTGGGCACCATTTCATCTCATCTGTGCAGCTAAAGATTTGGCATTCTCTGTCTTGAGATAGGATATGAAACTCTGTTTTTGAGAAACACTACATAAATCTACTGTTTTGTGTGAAGAACTCTTAATAATGATGCACATTGCAGCGTGCTGATGAAATTAAAGATGATGCTTTGTCTTCTGCACCAACCAAAAAGCAGAGCCTTGAAAAATGTCTAAAAAATAAAATTATTTTAACAGACTTGATGTTTGTTTCGGTGTTTCTGTTTAGGTGCTGACCCCAGCACAAATAAAATCAATTTGCCTGGCCATACTAGAATCAGGAAAGCAGTATGCAGTGAAGAAGAGGAAACCATTTCCACTCATGTATTCTTATTATGGAACAGAATATCTCGGTGAGTAAAACACACCAACTGCTTTGAAAGTGATGCTGTGTGTAGATGCTGAGCCAGTAGATGCTTCAGAAATAGAGTAATAGAATGTATTGGCTTGGAAGGGACTTACAGTGGTCATCTAGTCCAACCCCCCTACAATATGCAGGGACATCTCACACTAGAACAGATTGCTCAGAGCCCCATCAAGCCTGATCAATGGCTCCAGGGATGGGGCCTCCACCACATGTCTTGGCAACCCATTCCAGTGATCCACCGCCTTCATATAAAATAACTTTTTCCAAATGTCCAACCTAAATCTACCCTTTTCTGACTTAAAACCATTACTCCTTTTCCTATCATTACATGCCCTAGTGAACAGGTCTTCCCCAGCCTTCTTACAGGCCCCTTTCAGGTATTGGAAGGTCCCTCTGGAGTCTTCTCCAGGATGAGCAACCCCAACTCCCTCAGTCTGTCTTCATAAGAGAGGTGCTCCAGCTCTCTGATCATTTTTATTGCCCTCCCCTGGACACGTTCCAACAGGTCCACCTCATTCTTGTGTTGGTGGCTCCAGAGCTGGACACAGTGGTCTGTTGAGGTCTCACCAGGGCAGAGTAAAGGGGCAGAATCACCTCTCTCGATCTGCTGGCCACACTTCTCTTGATGCAGCCCAGAATGTGGTTGGCTCTGTGGGCTGCAGTTGCACATTGGTGGCTCATGTGCAGCTTTTGATCCACTAGCACCCCCAGGTCTTTTTCCACAGGGCTGCTCTCTACCAGTTCTTCCCCCAGTCTGTATTGATACCTCCGGTTGCCCCAGCCCAGGTGCAGGACCCTGCACCTGGCCTTGTTGAACCTCATGAGGTTCACCTGGGCCCACTTCTCCACTTGTCCAGGTCCCCCTGGATGGCATTCTGTCCCTCTGGTGTATTGACTGCACCACCCAGCTTGGTGTCATCAGCAAACTTGCTGAGGGTGCTCTCGCTGCCACTGTCAATATCATTAATGAAGATATTAAACAACAGTGGTCCCAGTACAAAACCCTGAGGGACACCACCTGTCACTGTTTTCCATCTGGACATCAAAATATAAAAATAAAATGAAAAATAAATATAAATATATAAAACCTACAGTGTGGAATTTCTCCTGACTGAGGTGGGACCACCCAACTGCCAAGTGGGACTGAGGAGCTGGAGGGGAGGATTGATGCTGCCTGCTGTTGGGGAAGGCAGGTGGTGCCTGTGCTGCCCAAGGGGGACTGCGGGCAGCAGCTTCATTACCTCTTCTTTCTGTCCTGGTAAACCTGCCTTTGCCAGATGGAGGCAGCAAGACGTACTCATTCCTGTGTGGAGAAGGTTGCCAGAGAGAATTGTCAGGGGATGTTATTTGTAAGCTGCTGTTGCCACGCAGGTACTTGGTGTGTTTTTGACTGTAGGAGTGCAACTCAAGCACATGGTCAGCTCCTACCCACCACAAGTAGCTTCTCTGAAGCAGTGGCAAAAGGTCATTGAGAGGTCCCTGGTGGGGTCCTCAAGGCACAATATCGTACTGCAGAAAGTGTGAGATTGTATGTTCTTTGGCAAAGGAGCAGAGGGGAACTCATTGAGTGGTGCTACTCCACAGACTCTGTCAGGTACAGACAATTCTTGCACTAAAATTCAGGTTTTAGCTGAATGACACTGTCTGTCAGTAGCTGGGAATATAATTCATGGTCCACTTTCAATGTGGGTTCAACAAAGACTTTAAAATAATGGTCCAGGTTCAGTAATGTATCAAGAAGAATAATGTCTTGAAACAGTATTCAGTTCATGTTCAGTTTAACTCCACACACTGAGTTTCAGTCACATCAGAGTGAAACAGAAAAAACCTCATTCATATCTGTGCATAGCTAGGGTAACTGGAAATTACTGAAGTAGTAACAAATCATAGTGCCATGCACCTAGAAAGCTTTTATTCCGAGTGCTATTGTAATACACATAAAGAAGATGAAAGAGCCATTTGCTTGACAAGGGAAAATGGTATTGAGATGGAGGTAGGAACTAAACTTACTCTCTAATCTGACTGTTCCTGTTCTTTACAGGTGCAGCACATGGGCTTTCCTCAATCCTTCAGATGTTGCTTTCCTATTATGAGTACCTGCAGCCAGCGGACCAGGAGCTTGTGTGGCAGAGCGTTGATTTTCTTATGGACCAAGAACAGAACAGCAACTGGCCTCCTGAGCTGGGGGAGACAATTGAGCGGGAGAATGAGCTTGTACACTGGTGTCATGGAGCTCCAGGTTCTTTTCCCATTGCTATGAGTAGCCAGATGTTGATGACATTGCTTTTCCATGTTAGGTGATACCATGCAGAAGCTAATATCAGGTTAAATTTGACCAAAGTTGACATTTTATGAGATAAAGGCAAACTACTTGGGCTTTTTCTTCCAGTTAAGCGTGGTTTATTTCTTGCTGAAGCAGCTGGAAGGTTAGGCATATTTTCTGCCTTAAGAGCATGAGTGATCACAGCTGAAAGAATTCTGATGAACCTAAAGTTTATGTTTCCCACTCTTCCTCCCTTTCCTGACAAGACTTCAAAGAGTGGTGCAGCTGAGTCAAAAGAGCATATGGTAGACACAGAAGTAGTCCAGCATGTGTTGGACAGAATAGAAAGAACAGGTACAGATACATCTGTGACTTCAGGGAAGGCTTTCAGAATCACTTTTCCCTCCCTCTTCAGAATCAAAAATTAAGCTGCACTTATTACATGGATAATGCTTACATTTTACCAAAGTATTTTCATGTGAAGGGGAGTTTGTGCTAGCGAGAGGCATTTTTTTTCCTGAAAGTTACTCATATAAAATTGCTTTTCAGAGAAAAAGAGAATCAAGGGTTCATGAGACAAAGCTGATCTCTGTCAGTTCAGAAACTAGTCCTATCTCTCTGGCAGTTTTGGCAAACAATGTCATTTATGGAAATGCCTTTTTTACCCCCTGGCAGAATTTTATGCCTAACCAGTCATATTGGCTTGTTAACATGAACCTAGAAGGTAATTTACTTTTATTAAAGAATGTCCATGAGCATTGATGCATTGCTTTTAAAGGTGTTCTGTTTAAATTACAAAAAATACTTTGTAAATAACACCCTTTAAATGTGATTTCTGCTTTTTGTTGGTATGATTAAGGAAAAAGCTTCTTGCTCTTGCATTCAAAAGAACTGAAGTGAGAACAGCTTTTGCTTACCAACCTTTTTTGTTGTAAGATAAAAAAATTACTTCTACACCATGGCTGGCCTAGTGATGAAACTTACTGGGAAGATTCTCTCTTTGTTTCAGTACCTCGAGAGTGGCCCGTGACTTGGGTTTAACTGTTAGTGGAAGCATATGCAGAGAGACTCGATCTAAGTGACAAAATCTCAAAAGGCATAAATAAGTTACTTTAGGAGACATTTAGAGACATGTAAATTAATTAATTGCTATTGTTCCTCCCCAGAAAATCCTATATCCCATCACTGTTCGTGGGTAAAAGTGCACATGTAGTTTACAAGAACGCTTTTCAGCTGCTTCAGTGTGTATCAACTTTAGACCACAAGTGAGCTATTCTAAACATTTCCTTAGGTGCTTGATTTGGTTATATGTCAAATGCATTTTTTAAGGTTGCCATTAACTGAGCTGTGCAGTGCTCTGTTCAAGATTATAATTCATTTATTTGAATCCCCTCTAAAAATAAAGCAGCATGGGCTCCACTGGGGGGAAAAAAAAAGTTTCTATTTCTGATTCTCTAACTCCTTGTGTCTGCTGCCAATGTGAGAAGTTATCTTGCCCATCCCCCTCTTTCTGTCATTGTATAAGTAGGTGAGATGAATGTGCATTTGAAACCAATAGAAGTGAGTTTACTGATTTAAAGGCAACAATGTGACTACTGCTTTAAATAGATAAAAGACTGGGAATGTTAGAGTAAACCCTTATATTGGGTAAGGCATTGAAAAGATTGAAAGTGGCGTGGATAAGGGACCACAAGGAGTGGATAAGTACCTCTTATCATTAGCTTTTTACCATACCAGATGCTCTCCTCTCCTTATGTAGCATATAGATTTGTAACATTGACATGTGTAGACCATGAGACTGCAGTTTTTTTGTGACAATTGAACCTTTTTTTCTTATATGTCCTGTGAAACTCTTGTCCTACTTACTATAAAAGACAATTTTCTTGCTATTTTCCTAGGCATCGCCTATCTGTTTGCCAAAGCTTACCTGGTTTCCAAGAAGCCTCAATATCTGGACACTTGCATCCGCTGTGGAGAGCTAACTTGGCAGAAAGGCCTGTTGAAGAAGGGGCCTGGAATATGCCATGGGGTGGCTGGTAGTGCTTATGTGTTCCTGCTGCTGTACAGGCTGACTGGAAACTCAAAATACATATACAGGGCACAAAGGTTAGCTTTCCTGTCTTTCTGGATTCAGGGTAATACTGGAAGGTTTCAGGGACATTTTTAAAGCTGCTCAGAGTCTGTGATCATGACCCTCAGATGTTACCTGAGCATTTAAGCCCTGGGTGCAATTCTTGCTCTGAGTGGTGGGGCAGACACAGTGTGCAGGGATCCCTGCACTCCTTCCAGGCTGCCTGCAGCAGGGGAAGCATCAGGTTCTCCTGGGCTCCTTTCCTCCCTGCCCGTGAGCCTGTGCTTCTTTGGAGGGAACTGGGGTGGGTGTGGAGGAACTGGGGTGGGTGTGGATCCTGACATGAGGCTGGAATAGCCAAGTTGTGTACCCAAGTCCAGGAGCAGAGTAAAATGTGATGCTGTTCTTTATATTGATTTGTTCTGATTCTCAGAGCAATGATCATTATCCCTTACTACTAAATATGGAAAATAAGTAGAGGACTTGCTTTGCTGTTACTTTACTGGATGTAATTTATCACTCCCAGCTTTAGCCAGTTTGACATTGTGCTGTTTAACCCATTGTGCTGTTTAACTAGCTTAGCTAGTTGGGTTAATTCAATTTTGCCCTGATGGAAGCAAGTGCATCCCACCAAAAATTCTGTCACAGTGCTGCAATTATCTTTAATTTTCTTTCTGTAATTTACTATACATGTTTGAGAAGGTAATTTCCAGTGTTTGCTACTGTTTTCTTTGCAGCATAGAATAATGAGGGGAACTGGTATAGTAATTAGGGTGACTTATTTTCAGCCCTTTGCTTTGAAGTGAGAACATTTTATTTGTTTAGTTATTTGAAATAACAACTCTGAGAAAAATGAGTTAAAAGTATTTTTTTATAATATGTCTCATAGAAATCAGAATAAATTTATAGTTGTCAAGCATTACTCATGTAAAGTTCACAAGGTTCAGCTTTGCTAGATCTCATGGACTTCCATTTATCATGGAAATCAGAGAGTGTAAAATTGCTACACAAGGTTAAATAATGACCATTCTACTTTTTAAATAATATAATATTTTTTAAATTATGCTTTCAAACAAATAAGTAGACGTACAACAACACTGAATGATAACAAAGTCTCTTCTTTTTTTTTTCCCTCCTGTTTTTTAGGTTTGCAGAGTTCTTATTTACAGAAGAATTCAAGGCTGGTTCCCGGGCATTAGAAAGTGTTTATAGTCTGTATGAAGGCTTCTCAGGAACTGTGTGTTTCCTGACTGACTTGCTGCAACCCAACCAAGCTGAGTTTCCTCTCTTCAGTGTCTTTGTCTAGAGGGTAACATTCTCCAGGGTCACATCCTAGTGGTGATGTCAGAGTAGGGCACTTTTTTGTCAAGAGGGGCTATTTACAAAACAAGCCAGTGGTACCACTAACACTAGCCTTAACGTAGCTGAGAGTCAAGTGAAAAGAAAATACACTGGGGCTTTGGGAGGGAAGCTCGTGGTCAAAAAAAAATGTGTCAGTGAACAAAAAATAGGGGGGAAGTGATTGAATCTGATGGGGTATTTAGCTGTAATAAGAAGCAAAATCTAATTATTCAAGTGAGGGAAAAAGGGGCATTATCAAACTTTTAATTTGGTGGTTACACGGGAGAAAAAAAAAAAAGGGCAAGGTAGAATTATAGGGGCATGCAAAGAAGAAACAGTGATGCATCCAGTAGGTTTTAAAAAGAAACTTGCAAAAACAAGTCCTCATGCAGCGATGCACTTACCAGGGAGGGTGTTGTAGACCTGTCACTGCACTGCACAAAGGCAAAATCTGGGATTTTTTACCTAAACCACATCTACTAGTTCTGGTAACATGTATTAGAAATACCTGTATCTTGGAGCTCTTTCATCTTCATAGGCTTATATTGATGGTTATGTAGATCACTATATATTCAGCCTGCGGGTTCATGGGTCCATTTCAGCTAGGGGAGTTTCATGGGTGTAAATGAGAAGTGAATTTGGCCCATCCATTCAGAGCTCAGTCTGTGGCAAGGAGCTGGTTTCCTCACTGATTTACTGGAACCGTGTCACTTCTTGTGACGCCTTCCCTGTCATGGAGAAAAATCAAAGGACCCATAGAGAAAGTTCGGATCAAAAAGTTCTATAGCAAAGACACATCAGGCAGATGCATTCTTCATGGTACAGCATTACTAGAGAAGTATTCTTCAGTGATACAAAAGCTTTCTTTAAAAATGTATTAGCATTTCTGAACATTAATGTACATATTTCAGAGAATGAAAAATCTATTTTCCTTGATGTTCACTACAAACCCTGAAAACTGAATGCAAACCTTAAATGGCATAATGATCTTAAGAAAAACCTGATTAAAAAAAAACTCAAAAATGCTTCTTTTCCTAGTTAACAAAATAATGTATATGCCCAAATTATTTGTAGCTGTAGAAATAAATGGGTTGCTCAATATTAGTTGCACTAGCACTTCAGGTCACAATTATATGCTGTTTTATATGAATTATATATATAACATGGTATTTGAAAGATAAAGAAAATGCTAACATAGATTTATACTAAAAATCTATTAAATTAATATCTGTATTAAAATATATGTACCATTTATTTATTTTTTTTATATGGGAACAATGTAATGTAATCACCTTTTAAGACAGATTGGGAAGACCAACATGTCAAAAATTGCAGTTAGGGTAAAACAGCTGACCTACATGCACTGCCAAACAATGCAGTCTCTCTTCCTGCATTCTCAGCTGGAGGAGATTACAGTTTCTTTATTTTTAATGCCTTATGGATTAAAGTTTCCATTTAATTTCAGTGGGCCTTGATCAGGCTGTGAGTTGGAGCCAGGTCTTGCAATCCTTATGCATTTTAACATAATAAGTCCATTCCTAGTCTTGCCACTGTTATTTTAATGAGATGACTGGCATTATCAGCTGCAGATTGGGATTTCTGCTATTTTGTCTTGCACTGTGTAGCTGTAATTAATATCTTAATCACAGTAGTAACCATATGTCATTGGTGAATAAAGCAATGAAGTTCTGTATCAGTTTTTCAAGAATTGAGAGGGTTTTTTGGTGAATGGAAATGTTGAAATTCAATATACAGTTGTTATGTGTTTATTATTCCTGAGATAAAAAGTATTTTAAGAAGGCCATTAATGCTACTTACTTTGTTACTCTGACATATGGACACAAGTATTTCACAGAGAGGTACACACATGAGGCTAAATCAAAAAGTCAATGAGGATGTGAGTGTGCTCTGCCCAGCTGGGCTGAAATGCTCCTGTTGGACCAGAGCACAGTCAGTTCTCAGTAGTGAAGATCCAAAGTCTATTAGGGTTCTTCTCTAGTTGGTTCCTGTAATGTGGGTGTCTAATATATTTCATAACTGGAACGTTTCTAAGCAAATATTTAAGGAAGGTAAAACTTGGCCTATCCACGTTTTCTCTGTAGTCAATAGCTCTTCAGTCTCAATTTTTATTGGAGGATAATGTCACTCAGATAAAACATGTAAGCAACAGCATTTGTGCCATAGCATTTAGACAGCTGTTGTAACTGTATTCTGTCTTATTGTAAGGCAGGGAAATAGGTTCTGCTATGATCTAGACACCAGCTGTTCCAATCTTGCATTTATTGCCAATGCTTTTATTTAAAAATGCAAACATAAACTAAAAATGACCAGTGTTTTGATAATTACACCATCAGAAAAATCCAAACAAATCCAAATTTAAGCCTTAACAGGATCTACTCATATCAGAATAGTAATCACAACCTTTTGATTTTTGTCCCCAGTGCCTACTTTTTAATTATCAGTGGGCCACAACATTTAATTGTTTCCAATTAAATATTTCTCAGGAGATGTTTAAAGAAGAAAATATTTGCCAAAAACTGAATAACTCTACAGCACAATAAATGAGTATAATAACATAGATCTTGACCATGTAATGAATGCTGATATTGTAACATAGACCACATTTATATTACAATTTACCATAATAGCAGTAGATAAAATAATTCATTTTTATTATGCTTAACTTTCAGTGGTCAGGTTTGCATTTATCTTTTAATTTTATTATTCATAAATGGCAGGAAATATACACTGATAATTCAGTGTTAGTTTTCTATTGATTTTCCCTCTATGTCTCTGTAGAATTAAATCCTTCTGATTTACATTCAGAGACTGATCTGCTCTCTGTTCAGCATCTGCAAAACAAATCTTTTGGCTCTGCAACCATTCTCCACTCATGAAGCCACGTCTTTGGCTTCATTTGATACTAATCCCGTGAGAAAGAAAATAGTTATCTGAGTCAGAGTTAGTCCATTCAACAAGGAGAACACCCGTGCAACCACCCACTTTTCAAAATCTAGGTTCCAAACATCTCTCCGCAAGTTATGCAAGTTTGCCACTGACAAGAGCGAGGGCAGCATGCAAACTTCATTTACTGACACTTAAGATCGGTAACATAAATGTTCAGTCTCTTGGGATGCATTTTGTAAAATCTCAAAACATAATTATTCATCTGTTCCATCAGATGTTTGAGCTCACTGTTGGAACTTTGTGGCTTTTTTTACCTGACCTAGCTGGGTTAAGATGGCTACTAGACATGCTGTAGTCACAGCTTCTGAACACAGTGTAAATATACTCCAGGGCTCTTTTGAAAACGCCGATCATTATATGAGCAGGCTTTTTTCATCTTTGCCCTCCTCTTAATTGTCTATTTGCTTTATTTCCTTTGTACCATATATACTGTTACGTACATGCTGTTGCAACCTTTATTTGTTGCTTTTAAGACATGGACAGGACAGCAACTGGAGCAGAGCCATCAGCACTTTTCAGTGTTATACAAAAATAAGGTCCTTTGTGTTCCCTCTTTACTGCTTCGAAAAAATAAATCGTGCAACCTTTGCTAGACATTCCCAGCAGGCTGCTGTCTCCTCCTTGCTCCTGAATCAGTCAGTCCCTAATAGACTGAAAAAGTGTATTTCTGAAGAGATTCCACCATGGTGCCGTGACAAGACTGTGTTACCAGAAACTTGAAAAGCCTCTTTCAAAGTATAAAATGCAAGTTACTACGTCACGTTTGCACGTTAGTTTCTTGACTCTGTTCAGCTTCTAAAGTGTAGGCAATAGGAATTTAAGTGAAATAATAGTATTTCTGATTATGTTGTTAAAGCAAAGAGGATGCATTGTGTGAGTATAGGTGCTTATTTGTGATGTGCCTGTGTTTGTGTGGTGCTGTTTGTGAGTAAATTTGTAGAGTACAAATCAGTTTAAGAAGCTATATACTATGCATGACTTTCAGTAGGTCATCCATAGATTGCTGTCACAGAATAATTTTGAGGGAAACTAGATCTGTAATGTCCAGATTCAGTGATCTCAGGATTCATAGAACCAGATGCAATACATTTTATCAACAGTACAGTTCTAACAAATATATTTTAACTTTTTTTCTGTTACTTAAAACTTCTCAGCATAGTATCATACTCATTTTGTGCCACTGCTTTCAATATCTGCTATGTTTCCATCAGCTTACCTGCCTTTCTTTCCCAACCTATGAATAACTTCAGAAGACTGAAGCCACAGCCCCAGGTCTTTTGTTCTTGACAATAAGATTGATTAATTTTGCTTAAGAGGGGTGCTCCACTTATTTGCATTACATTATTTTATGCTTCCAGGTGTTCTCGCTGGCTCTGTCATTTCCCACCTGCTATGGAAAAATCATTATACTGTATAACAACTGTCACTGATGTTTTACAGCATTAAATGAAACAAAGAGAGACTTTCTAGGGAGCATGTTCACTTCTCTAGTATCTCAGTTCTAATAAGACCATCGAAATCAAGTGAAATGCCTAAATGTCCAAAAATACACATTTACATAGTTCTGGGAAATACGCACAAACACATGCAATTAAAGTGGTCTCTCTTCTTCCTGCTCAGTGAAGTTTAGTAATGCCACTTTGATGTTCTAATAATAATCATATGAGCATGTAGAGAATGTGGTAAGAATACTGATGAGTTCTTAAAATACTGTGAAAAAAAACAAAAACAAGATACAGGTATTCAGAAACATACAGGTGCAATATGTGCAAATATAAACCTTCATAAGCAATCACGTTTGTACTTACATTGTTATCTGCATATAGTTACAACATCTGCAAACATACTGCATGTTTTATGCAAATGATGACCTTTTTTAGCACATGCATGCATTTTGAGACTATATCCTTGTTACCTGGACCTGTAAGATCCATGGACAGAGTGTATCTCTTTGAGATCTACCAAGTAAATCTCAGGTGCGGTGATCTCCTACATACCTTGAATATTTACTGGCATGAGTG